CCCAAACCCCTGGGAAGCTGCTGAGTGCAGGGGCAGGGGGTTCTGCAGAGGGAGAGGCTGGTCCGGACTCCAGCTCCCTCTTTTCCCACGAGCTCGCAGTGTTTGCAGCGGGGCCGGGGGGGCTCCGCCGCCGTCCCTGTGCCTGCGGAGGGCAGCCGGCCGCGGCCCCGAGCGGCGCAGCTCCGGAGATCCGCCTCGGCTCCGGCCGGGCGCTGCTGGCTCGGCTGGGCCCTTGCCCCGCTGCTGCCCTTGGGGGCACACAGAATCTGTGCCAGCTCTTGGAGGGGCTCGGTGTGGCCCGGAGCCTCGTGGGGTTCTGCTGGTGCTGGGACATCCCGTGCAGGTACATCTTGCCCTGGCCTCCTGCCCCTTGCCCGGGGCCGGGACAGCTCCTGTAGGGAGCAGCGCGGCTTGTCCGAAGCCCGGCCACGGCTCTCGGGGCTGCCCGCCCTGCCCCGGGACACCCGCGTCCAGAGGCAGCTGTCTGCGCTGACCCTCGGGCGCTGTGGCAGGGCATTGCTGGGCAGCCTCCCGCTGTAAGCTCTTAGCAGCTTAAAACGCGTTTTTCTGAGCGAGTGCCGAGCAGCTGCGCTCAGCACGGCGTGTCCGGGGCGCTCAGCCCCTGGGAGAGCGCCAGGGCGGGGAGCGTGTCGGAGGCAGGGACCGCGGGTGCCAGGCCGTGGGGCGGGAGATGTCGCTGACCCCTGCCATGAATGCAGGGGCTGTGCAGCGGCGTGTGGCCAGAGCGCATCTGCCGGCCACAGTGCCTCCTTTGTGCCGCGCTCCCTGCCCCGCTCCCAGCTTTCTTCCTGGGCTAGCAACAGCTTATCGTGGGGATCAAAGATCAGAGCATTTACTGCCTCTGAACTTTGCCTCTCTGGATGCCCGCCTCCCTTCGTGCACCCATCCCTGTGTGATGTGAACCACGCTCTGGAGGCTCAAGTCTTGATCTTGTCACTATCACTGTCCTTGTCTGCCCGTGTCCCAGGCCAGGCTCCTGGGTAGCAGTGAAGGATTTACCTCCAGGAGCTGCTGGCACCTCTGCTGCGTGGCACAGGGCTTGCTGATGGTGCACATGGTGGGGGCTCCCATCAGGGTGGCACTGTGCCCACGACCAATCAATGGTTGCAGCTTAAGTATAACTATTATTATCTTTCAGTGGTATTTTTCCCCTTATCGTGGCTCTTGCCCTTGGTGCTGTGACTACACGTGTCTGCAGGGACCTCTCCACCTCCTGGCTCAGTGGCATCAGGCTGATGGACGTGGTGTTGCCCTATGAGGAGGTCACAAAACTGCAGGATCAGCTGTGAGCTCACCACCACCACCACGTCAGCAAGGCCAGCAGTTTCAAGGCTTGATCTGGTTCCTGTAGAAACTGGAGGTTGCTCCTGCCTGCCATGAGTGCAGCCAGCCATGCACCCTAGGCAACAATGCAGTGGGGATGGGTGGGAGCAGGTATGGCACAGTGCTGCAGTGCCACCACTGCCTTTCCACATGCCTTGTAGATCCCACTTCTTCCTCACTCTCTTCTCGCTTCTTGTGGGGGCTGTGCTGAGCCCCACACCCTACTCTTGCCCCTCTTGCTAAAAATCACCACTAGAGAAGCCTGAAAGCCTAAAAAAGCATCCATGGGGCAATGAGTCTCATCTTCTGACCCCAAGAGTCTTGGGTTTCTCCCCCACTCCTGGGCTGTCCTTCTGTGGGCGTGTAGGAAGAGGGATCACTTGGTGGGCTCATGTTTCCAAGGGAGGTTTTGATCTCATGAGCGCCGGAGCAGCTCCTCTCCTGCCCGGCAGCAATCGGCAGCAGGCTGCAGAGCTGGTGCGACCCTCTGCCGCACCTGCCCGCCCCTTGCGGCTCTCCGGAAGGATGACCGCAGCCCTCTGCAGACTACCTCATCCCTGGAGCAGGGGCCAAGTGTCAGCCACGGCACAGATCCAGCCCAGCCCAGGGGACACCTGTGCTGCCGCCCTCCTCTGCACCCTGCACCGGGGCCCAAACGTGGCTCAGGGCTGGTGCTGCCCCGGGTGGGAAGAAGGTGCCCCCAAGAATCCCTGCTGAGGCTGAGCCCGTTGTAGCATTGGCAGCCAAGCAGCTCTGCTGAGCCAGAGCCCATCCCTGGCCAAGCCGGCAGCAGGGGCTGCTTCCCGCTGGCCGGGCACTGCTGCTGGCTTTGTTCATCCTGGCAGTGACTCGCTGGTGCTCCCGGCCAGGGTGAGGGGAGCTGCGGGCCGGGCCCCTTGGCCTCCTTTCCTCTGCTGCGTGAGGATGGCACGGATATTTAAGGAGAATGTGATAACACCATGCTCCTGTGTTCTCACCCCTTCCTACCTACCTACCTACCTGCTGAGATCCTGGCTCCTGTGGGACCTGCCTGGACAGGTGCAATGGGATGGCATATGCTCCCTCTGTGCTGAGGAGCTGAACGGTTGCCTCCACCAGCACGGGATGGCTGCACTGCGATCCAGTGCGGCTCAGATGGGCGCACAAGGCTTGTGCCCCAGCACTGCCCCAGCACTGGCCAGCCAATGCCCCATGGCTGTGAGTGTGAGCCACTGCAGCCTTGTGCCCTCTGGAGAGGCAAGGGCTGGACCGTGCCCCAGTACTGTGCAGCTCTTTGGTGACTGCAGGGACTTAGGGTCACCTATAACGTGGCTGTCAAGGCAGCCTGGGCCCCGAGGATGGGGCTTCCAGGAGGTGCTCTCTGGGCTTTGTCCAGAGAGGGGCCTGTGCTTGCAGGCATGAGTTGGGTTTGGTCTGTGGGTCCCCATGGCACCACCTGCCCCTCATCAGGTGGGAACCCCCACGCTCAGACATGGGAAATGCAGGACCCACTGCTGGCTGGGGGATTCCCAAAGCTGGGGGGAGGGTATGTCCCACAGCCTGTGTCTGCAAGGAATGGGGACGAGATGGGCCAAAGCTGCTGTCCCCAGCCCGTTCTGCCTCCTGGCAGGCCCCTGAAGTCCATCTGTGGTCCCACACACCGTGTGGGGGCGGGCTGGGCACAGCGGGGATGCTGCCGACCTCCAGCTTGGGGATGGAGAGCGGGATGGGGCCGGGCGGGGAGCGGGGCGGGAGCGCAGCGCCCGTGGGCTCCTCCAGCCCCCGCTCCCCGCCTGTCCCTGTGCGGGCAGGGACCCGCCGGCCGCGAGGGGCTGGCCGGGGGCCGGGCTCTCCCCGCTCCCTCCTAGCAGCCGAGGAGTTAAAAACTCAGCCCGGGTGATGAATATGTAAGAGCAGAGCCCAGGCTGGAGCTGAGCATCTCCCGGGCTGCGGGCGCTGCCAGCGCTGCCGCCCGCTCCAGCCCAGCACCGGGCGCACTGCGGAGGGACGGGACGGGACCGGGAGGTGCGGGGGTCCCCCCGCTGCCCCGCGCCGCCATGGGCCCCACGGGGCTCGGCATAACTTTCCTGACACTGCCCCTCGTCGTGCGAGCGGCCGCGGGAGGTGAGCTGCGCCCGGGGCGGCGGGGCCGGGTCCCGCGGGTGGAGAGGACGGGGGCGCGGTGCTGGGGGGCTTGGGGGGCGCCTCTTTTTCCATTCCCTTCCCACGTGTCGGAGAGTGATGCGGGCTGAGGGGTTGGCAACAGGGACTGGGGGACCTGGTCTGTCCAGAGCCCTCTCCTGCCCTCCCACCTCCCCCTCCCCGCTGCTGGATGGCTGAGTGCTGCCGGGCACGGGGGTCTCGAGGTGGTGGGGCCAGGGCCCCCTTGGGACAGTGGGGTCTTGGGCTTCAGCCCAGGCGTCCCACAGACCTGCACCACCGGGAAACACCAGTGAGGATGAAATCTCTGAGGGGATGGGCGCTGCCGTCCCGGGCCGGGGCGCTGGGTGCTCACCTGCATCCGGGCCAGGCTGGGGGCGCCCAGCGGTACCTTGGCTCCTGCCGGAGGATGCTCGAGGGCTGGTGCGTGCAGGTCTGAGGATTTCCCAGGAGTTCTGCTTGCCCCAGAGCAGGGATCTTGGGGCCGTCGGAGTCCTGCCTGCTGTGTCCCACTCCCAGTTCTCCTCTGGGGCTGGTGTCTCCTGTACCACTGTAGTGAGACTGAGGATGCAGTGCCGCAGGCTGGGGCCTTGAGCACAGGTGGAGGCCGGCAGGGCTGCTTTTGTCCTGCTGCTCCGAGCGGCTGTGGCTGGCACAGAGTGCGGCTCGGCTCGCCTGCAGCCGGCCCGCTGGCATGGCCCCTCGGCCACCAGCGGGAACCCTTCACGTGGGCTGGGCCGGGCAGCACTGGGTTGCTCTGTGCCTCCTGCCAGGAGCAGAACGGGGAGCTGAGGAGGGAAGGGGTGCAGTGCCCAGCTCCCTCTGCAGAGCTGATGGCCCTGAGTGGATGTGCAGCCAGCAGGAGCAGGGTGCCAGCTTTGTTGGCATCCCCTTGGTGCCCCTGCACCTGCTGCGCCAGCACTTGTCATCGAGCCTGTGGTACCCAGAGCCACCCGAGCGCTGCTGGGAGCTCGGCAGCTCTGGCTGAGGCGGCCCTGAGTGACGGGACCGGCCACCATCCGCACAGCGTGGGCCCGGGCCTGCCCACCGCCGCTGCTGCAGCCGCTGGCAGCCCACCCGCGGGGACACCGGGCACGGCTGCGGCTGCCCCACGCGGCTCCTGCTCGCCGTGGCTGCCGGGGGCCGCTGCTGTGGGGCCAGGGGCTGCCTTGGCTCCCCAGGAAAAGGGGGATGGCCCCATGAGAGCTGTGGAAGGAGCACAGTGAGCAGGGAGGTTTGGCTGCCTTGGAGCAGCGATACTGAGGGAGGTTTCCCTGTGAAGCGTGTGGGGGAGGCAGGGAAGGTGTGAAAACACTAGGGCCAAAAATAACCATGATGAACACAAGTGTTGGTGGGACCCCGGGCTGCACTGGGGGATGTCCTCATTGTCAGGGGGTTGGGCACGGCTGTAGGTGGGTTTGGGAAAGGCTGCCTGTCTCCATCACCTGCCCTGAGCTCTCCTTTCTCCCGCAGGGCAGTGGTGTTACGACTCACAGGACCCCCGATGCGGTGAGTGGTGCCAAGTGTGGGTGTGCTGGGCTGTGCAGGGCTCAGAGCCTCGTGTCTCCCCACAGTGCCCAGCTGAGAGCACCCTGGGCAGCATCAGCAAGGTCCAGTGGAGAGTGTGGCATGGAAAAGGGTAAATCCCCTCATGGGAATGGTTAGAGGAGCTTCACTTTTGGGGGTGGTGCTGTAGTGACTTGACAAACACCTGAGCCCCTTAGAGCAACTCAGCCCCACCCCTCACCTCAGCCAGGTCCACGTGCTCCTGGGGCAGCACCAGCTTTCCCCCTTCCACCTGAAACAAATTAAGTCCAGGTTTTAAAATACTCTATTAGAAACCCTGTGCAGTGTAGGCAGCAAGGGGGCCTGGGGATCCAGGGGCCCGACTGAGGAGGGACAGCTCCCTTTGAGCAGGCAGCAGCCCTGCCTGGATGGGGAGGGAAGCATGGCTGGGGGCACTTTGTCTCAAAACACACAAATACAAATTACAAATAGCTTGTAAAAGGTTAATTAAAGATCATCAAGCATTTAATCAGCTGTTACAGCCCAACTGTTTTATAGCTGTTGGGTTTGCATGCCCTGTGGCTTGTGAGCGTGGATTGCTGGGCTCCGCTCATCCCTGTCGGAGCGAGGCTCGGTCTTACCCGGTTTAACGTTGCTGGGCTGGCAGCGAGGGCAGGTTTTGGCAGGGCAGGGACCGGTGGGAAGTGGCTGGAGCAGTGTGGGCTGGCTGTGTGCCCTCAGCAGAGCCATGTGGAATGTCCCTGCCCTTATTGAAGGCACCTGGTAATCTGTGGGGCCACCCAGTTACACCGTGCCAGGAGCCTGGTGGGATGGTGGCATGGCCAAGCTGCATCTCCCAGGGCTTCCAGGCAAAGAGTTGCCTGAAGTAATGAGAGGAGAACATAAAGGGTAAGGGCTGAGCCCAGGGGGCAGGAGGTGGGATACAGCCCACAAGTGTCTGTGGTTTTGTCTGCCCAAGAGGAAGGTAAACGTCAGAGCTGAACATGGGGCACTGCTGGGGGAACAGTTCCCCAAACCCTGGCTGTAGGCAAAGGGGGCCTAGCCATGATGTGTGTGAGAAGAGCCAACAGTTCCTGCTGGGATGTGCTGAGCCCCCCTGGAGATGGAGATGCCCTGGGAGAACAGGGCTGGAAACACTGGGGGAGCTCCTATTCCCCAGCTGGGACTGAGACCAGACACTGGTGGTGCCCAGTGCTGATACCTCTATCCTGGGCTGCACCAGGAGGAGGAGTGGGGTGCTGTGGCAGCCACACTTTAGCAGTGAACAGCAGGGTGGCTGGCTGGCTATATCCTACAGCTGTGGACTGCCACAAGGTTTGCAAGAAGATATGATGTTGGGGCAATGGGGACAAGCCACATATATGGGTTAGTTGTGTGTTCTGGCCATGGTGGCAGCCATGGGGACCCTGCTCACAGCCCCCAGCATTGTGGGTTTGCAGTGGGTGCAGTTGGCTGCCAGCACTGCTGTGTCCTCACCCAGCTCCTGCCATGGTGACCTCCCCACCCCAGCAGCTGCTGATGGGCATTGTGTGCTTACCCTGGAACATGTGTAGGATTTGTCCCAGGATGAGTTGTGTGGCCAGGTTGCACTGTGTCCTGTCACAGCTGGACAGAACCAGAATGAGTAGGCTGAACATGCTAAAACCTGCAATGGGCAGAAGGGGCAGGGATAAAAGCCTGCCCTTCACCAGCCAATGTGGACGCTGCTGTCAGGCTAAATATAGCCCCTGGCCCCTCGAGGAAATCTTGCTGAATTATGGATGGGGCTGCAATAAACCCCTGATCATCAATAGGGAGGAAATTTAGCCAGGCAAGAGAGCAGTTCCCATGGGATGCAAGAGAGCAGGGCTGGGCTGGCAGGGACAGCAGGGCTGGTTGGGGACACAGCCACCCGTGGCCTTGTGTGCCCCTTTGGGTGGTTTGGTGGCTGCCCGTGGTGCCCCTGCTCCTCCTCTGCAGGGCCCAGCCACTGGAAGGAGCTGAAAGCCACATGTGGTGGTGACAAGCAGTCCCCTGTGAACATCGACAGGCACCGGCTGCAGCGGGATGGTGGCCTCGGGGACATCCTCTTCGAGGGTTACGACCAGGCTCCCCCTGGCAAGTGGAGGCTGACAAACAACGGGCACACAGGTGCGTGCTGGGCACCTTCTCCTGCTCCAGTGCCCCAGTCACCATCCTGACTGGGGCTTGGCTCTGGTGCCCCTCCTGGCTGCTGCGGGATCCCATGCAGATGAATGTTGGTGCTGGGATGAAGCTGGGGAAGAAGGAGCTGTGCCAGGGCTGTTCCCCACCCTAAGCCTCCCCTCACCCTGTCCTGCTGCCCTTGCAGTGATGCTGAACCTGGCGAGTGAGTCGGCCTCTGAGCACATCACCATCAGCGGCGGGGGCCTCCCCGGCCGGTACCGCGCGGTCCAGCTGCACTTCCACTGGGGCAGCCCGGCTGGGAATGGCTCCGAGCACACCCTCGATGGGCGCCAGCTCCCCATGGAGGTACGTGAGAAAAGGTCCCCATCACGTTCTGGGTTGCCCAAGCCCTTGCTGTGGTGGGAAGAGGTGATGCTGGGGCACCCCAAGGCTGTCGTGCAGCTGGTGACTGGGCTCTGCAACTCTGCACTGGTGGCTTCAGCTGTGCTCCTGCACAGGCACCCGGCTGTTGAAAAAGCAGCTGATGTGAGACTTGAGGTGTTTCTTTATCATGCGTGGGCCAGGTTGCTTCGTCCAAGGCACTAAGTGGGGTTTGGGAGGCTCTGTGCCCTGTTGGGACCACACACTGAGCTAGTGAATGCAAGTGAGAGCAAGCAGGAGCGTGCTGTGCCAAGCACATTGGGATCCTTCTGGATGAAAGAGACTCTGCGCCTCTAAAATATTCATTATCTGCCAGAGGAAAGCAGAATTTATGTTCTGTGTCTGGAGAGCACGCTGGGACTGCTGGCCCTCTTTTGCACACCCTTCAAAGGATGCTTGCTTCACTGGGGTGCTTTGATCCTCCAAGAACCCAGCCCACAGAAGTGCCAATAGGACCAGAAGGGCTTTACTGGGAGAGGTTGACTCAGTCTGGCCACCCCAAGCTGGCTGGAAGGATCCATAGCAGAATGCCCTGCTGCCAGGGTGTTGGCTGGGGGCAGCTGTGCATGCCTGACTCCTCTGTGCTTTCCTCAGATGCACATTGTCCACATGAATGCCAAGTACCAGACACTGGCAGAGGCCAAGGGGCATCCCAATGGGCTGGCTGTCCTCGGCTTCTTCTTCCAGGTGGGTCTGCAGGGGTCCCCTGGAAACTGGGTGCTGGTGGTGCAGCCAGGCGAGCATTGCACAGGTGTCCTGGAGGAGTGGGAAGGGGAGGAGGGCTGGGTCAAGGCCAGGAGAGGCTGGGGAACCCAATGACTACAAGAGAGGGCTGGCTGGGAACCTTCCCCACTGCTCTGCAACAGGGGAGGCTGGTTCTGCCTGCGCTTGCTTGGCAGGACAGGATGACCCAGCTCTGTCCTGCTCAGGCTCTGCCTGACTCCAACCCCTTATTCTCCCCGTACACAGGTCTCTGAAACCAGTAACACCAACTACAACACCATCGTGGCAGGGCTGAGGAATGTCTCCCATGCTGGTGAGTCACCTCCTCGTCAGGGCAGGGTAGGAAATTTGGGACCCTGCTATAGGAGGGCAGGGATGCACCCCAGTGGGTTGGATGGGGGACTTGCCAGTCTCTGGCTTCATCTGGGTTCATCTGCTGAGGGGAAACTGATGGGGGTGGCCCTGCTGTCCCCACCACATCCCCGGCAGGGGACAGGCTGAGTGCCCCTGTCTTGCCCCACAGGGGACTCTGTGGATTTGGCCTCCACGTTCCGCCTGAGCACGCTGCTGCCGCGTGCCGCCCGCCTCTCCGGCTACTTCCGCTACCAGGGCTCCCTGACCACCCCCGACTGCAGCGAGGCCGTCGTCTGGACTGTTTTTGAGGAGCCAGTGGAGATTGGCCGGGAGCAGGTACTGGCATGTACAGCCCCACGTGCCAGCACCCGAAAGGCTGGATCCCCAGGGTGACCCCTTCCTGACCCTTGAGCAAGAGCACAGGGAAAGTCATCTCTATAATAATGCTCCTGGCAACTTGGCAATTAATTAATTTTATGAAGGTTAAGTAACGGAGATGTGGCCACCTGCCAGTGGAGAGAAATCCCATCCATACTGCATTCCTGCCCAGCTCTGGCATTCAGAAAGAGAAATGGGAGTGAATCCATTGAAACTCAGTAGAGACTCCAAGGAGATGGATGGATGCATGGATGCATGGATGCATGGAAGGAAGGAAGGAGTTGTTCTCTGTTGCTCAAGCATCTTAGTGTATCTATTTTCTTGAGGGAGTTATGGGCCAGCCACTCTCTAAGTGCTTACTATTGGCACCAAAACACAATTAGCTCCTTTAAAACTCAAGACCTGATCCTTGTAAGGGCCTGTCTCTGTGCTTACGTATGGGTCTGGCTTCAGCAGAGCAGTGAGGGGTGGTGGGAGGACACCCACTGCTGTGGGGCCATGCCATGGGTCCTGTGCCATCAGCAGTGGGGCAGTATGAGGTGGGCTGGCAGCGGGCAGGGGCCTGGGGTGCCTGGCAAAGCAGCTGCCCACCCTCCCTCTCTCCCTGCACAGCTGAAGGCATTCGTCAGCACCCTCCACTTCCCACTCGAGGGATCCATGCTCCTAAAAATGATCAACAACTTCCGCCCGCCGCAGCCCCTCCGCAGCCGCAAGATCTTTGCCTCCCGTGGGGCCACAGCCAGTGGCGGGTCCCTGCACGGGGGCCACCACCAGCTCCTCTCAGCCCTGCTCCTCCTGGCCCTGCTCAGCCTCTTCTCACCAGCCCCGTAGGGTCTGGCCCTGCTGCAGTGGAGATGGAGGTGATGCATCTTGTTAATGGGTAATGGGAAGCAAGGAGAAAAAAAAGCACGTTGAAACCTTGGCTGGGTGAAGATTTTGTGAACCTGCATCCCTGCAGAGGTGAATCTCTGCAAGCCTGGAGCTGCCCCGTGATGCTCCTGTAGATGGGCAGTGGGAGCTGCTGGGAGGGGGATGTTGTATTGACTGGAATAAAGCCAAGGTATCATCACTGCTTCTTTTTTGCTGGCTCTGTGTCCCTTTGCCATCTGGGGCAGGTGCTTGGCATGGCACTGTGGGATCAGTGGGGAGGGAGCTGGGGATGGTGTCTGGGTGGTATTCAGGGATATCCTCTGCGTGGTGGTGCAGGCAGGCAGGAAAGAGCCAAATCCCGGTCGTGGCTCGGGATACCCGCAGTCGCTGCGCTGCAGACGCTGCCCTGTCGCTGCCCTGTCGCTCTCCCCAGGCTGGGGATGGCTGTGGGAGGGATGGGGATGTCCCTGGAACACGGCACCTGCAGTGCCCTTGTGCAGGACACAGGGATCTTTCCACGGAGCTCATTTTGTGCTGGCAGGAATAACTGCAGCTGCCGGCGCTGCCGGGGCAGCGCTGTGTGAGTGGGGTGGTTCATAATTAATGTGCTGGAGCTCCAGGCATGTTCCCATCTTCTCCTGAATTATGGGTGAAGAGCACAGCCCGTTATTTGGGAGAACAGGAGGCAGGCTGAGGTTTTTCGTCATTTCTGGAGGGATCTACTGCCAGTGGCCGCACCACTCGTGGGTCCCGAGCATCCCCTGGAGGGGGAGGCTCCTGGGGGAGGCCCTCGCTGCAACAGGCTCTTCCTGGGCGGAGGGGTCCCGTCGCAGATCCTCGATGCTCACTCCGGGGGGATGTGGCTCTGTGATCCCCCTGGAGCTCAAGGCTGGAGCCGCGGGACACGGGGACAAGGGGACAAGGGGACAGGCCGGACACGGGGACAAGGGGACACGCCGGACAAGGGGACAGGCCGGACACGGGGACACGGGGACACGGGGACACGGGGACACGGGGACACGGGGACACGGGGACACGCCGGACACGCGGGGGCGCCGCGGGCACGCGCACGGAGAGGCGCCCGCAGCGGCTTGGCGGCCGCCAGGGGGCGCCCTCCGCACGGCCCCGACACCG